GGGGCTGTCCTGGGAGTCTCTGGAGCCCTCCCTGCCCCTGGGGACGGAGTCCTGGAGCAGAGCACTGGGGCAGGGCTGTGCTGGCCAGGGGCTCCTGGGGTCCCTGGGAGAAATCCCAGGGAAGGAGCTTTCACTGGACCTTCCCTCCCGCAGGCTACCTCTCCTCCAGGATTAAGGCGTTAGATGCCATACGGCTGCACTCGGACCTGACCCAGCCTATTGCAATGGCAGGAGGCTTATTAATGAGGAATTAAGCCATGGGCACGTCCCAGTTACGTGGGGCTGAGCCAGTGCCCACAAAGGGCTGCTCCCTGATGTAGGGACGCTGCTGCTGATGGGTACCCGGCCAGCCCCACAGTGCATGGCCACCGAGTGCCAGCACTGTGCATGCTGCCCGGCATTCCCATCATGGGTGCGTGGCGCTGGAGCCTCGCTGCCTGCAGCCATCCCTGCAGGACCAAGCCTGCCTGCGCCGTCGAGTCGGGTCCTGGTGCCTGGCAGCTGCCAGTGCCAGCCACACCCAGCCCGTCCCGCCAGCCCCACGCAGCGTGGGAAGGGAAAGCAGCGCTGCCGCCAGGCGACCTGGCTCAGGAGCACTGGGCTTTGCTGGGCAGCACCCAGCACCAGGGACTTGGTGGGGCTGGGGGGTCCCACTGGCCTCATCTGGGCTCCGGCTCCCTTGGCGCCTGGCTCTGCAAGGAGCTGGAGGGGCAAAGGGAGACCCTGCCCATCCTGCTTTGGCCAGGCAGGTCCCCTCCTTAAAGCCCGCACAGCCACCAAAGCCAGGCTGCAAGCCCCGTTTCTGTGTTTGGTGCTGCCTCCAGCTGCCCCACGCACAGGGATGGGGTGGAGGGAAGGCAGTGATGGTGGGGATGGGGTGGGGGTGCCCCTTGCCCTGCCTGCTGGTGCAGGTGTGGCAGGGAGCCCCCCGGGCACCATGATGGGAGTGGCAGCAGTGCCAGGCACTGCAGGTGATGGGGTGGGCTGAGCAGGGTGGTGGGCACAGGGAGGACCGGGGGTGCCATTAGATGGGGAGCCCTGGGTGCGCACAGGGCTGGAGGAGCCACAGTCCCCACAGCAGGGACTGTCACCTGGGCCGGGCTCTCCTCGAGCCCAGGCGTTTTGTCTGGTGCTCAGGGAGGAGGAGGCATGGGGGAACCCATCCTCCCTTCTCCCCCCAGTGTGGTGGGGGGCCAGGATGGGGACCCATGGTGGCAGGTGTCTTGGGTGTTCCCTCCTCACTCGTCCAGGGTCCATCCTGATCTCTGCTGCCACGTGGCCCCTGCCCACGGGCCAGGGGACCCAGCTGGCAGGCTGGAGCTGGCTGGAGGTGACGCAGGTGTAACCGGAGCGGGGTGTCC